GTCTTGCTCAACGTCATTCAATCCACTCTCGAGAAATAGTAGACTGATGCGTGGACTGAGCGTTAGCTTGTTATTCCTCTCACTCTATGGGAAAATAGAGGACTCCCGTCAGAACATACCGCATCTGCGCCAGACTGTATAGCTTCTCTTCTATCTCAGCTCTGTCCCAGGTGCTCCTTGCCTGCCGCCATACCAGATGCCATTTCCCTGTTGCGACATTGCCAGGAAGCTTCCTTGCTATCTCCTTATCGAGATCGTCGAGCCGTTTGAAGAACTCAGTGCTGATAGCGTCTCTGCGTTCTATCGACCATGCAAAGTCTCGTAGTCGTGTCGCTTGCGCCTGCACTGCAGCCCAGTCGCTATCACTTTTCACTCGATAGAGCGCAGCCACCTGGTAGAGAGTGCCAGCTATCAGAATGTACGCGAATGTTAAGATGGAAAGGACGTTGGCGGTAGAAGAGAGTGCGCTGTCGCGACAGTCGCACGTGCTGTAAAGTGGTGTCTCCATGGGGTTGATATGAGACACGTCGATGTCGGTCTCACGAACGGCAGATTGGTGACTCGAGGAAGGCTGGGGAGCTTCCATTCCTTCGAGAAGTTCCCCGCCAGCTTACTTGCGATAGTAGACTGCATACTGACTTGCGCCGGTGTTGGTTCGGTTGCGGCTAAGTGCCTGCAGCACACATGTGCTCAGCCTTGTCGTCCAAGACTTGGGTAGGTGTATGGCTCTGTTCCCCAGTTCACCTGTCTACGCTTCCGAACGGCCCCAGTGTCTCGAATAATTTCAACATCACACAATGGAGTGAAAGACATCATAGGACCTGAGAACGCTCAAAGCCGTTCTATTAGCAAAGCTAACTAACGTGTTGTGACAAAGACATATTTCAACAATGCCAGCGCAAACACTACGAAAACAATTGATCCACCCGTGGCCTGCCAGGGGGAATCTTTATCTTGCACGTCGAGATCATTCACCTGAGAAGCCATAATTCGAATCTGCACTCACTGCCGGCCATGACCATTCCACAGATGCAGGGCGCTAAAAGGGCGGGGGCCCCTCTGATATATGGAGACCAGCACGCACCAGATACTACCAGTGCACCAGAGCAAGCAGTCAAACGAGCCAAAAAGCACCCGTTCGACACCCTCGCGCTCAGAAAGATGGGATACGACTTTAAAATACCAGCGATCATTGCCAGAATCCGTACTAATTCGGCTCAGCCCTTCGACGTGGGCATGGGGTTAGGGGTGATGCTGTACCACATCGTTCCGTTGATATCAACGCACTTGGAAAATCCTATGGAGTTCCACAACAAGGCGCCAACAGCCTTGCAATGGGCAACTGAGTTCGTCGAAGCGGTTGATCAGTATATCGCATACTTGCGTCTTACGGATGGTTGCTCGGAGAAATTTCCTAATGATGCAACCGTCGATCGCAAGAGTCGACGGCCACGGCGCAAATACATGGGGCGGTATACCCACCTCGTCGAGAATGCTTATAAGAATCATGTCCGCGAACAGCTCTGCGACATATTCCAATCGTGGAGCAAGGAACAAACGCAGCTCTTCAACAAGGGTATGGATAAAGCTCTCTCGGGAATACAGTGGGTCGTCTACCCGCAAGAAAATGTGGTTCTGGCTGCTGGCGACGACGAGTGGACGATTTGGCTTCGCGGAAGGTGCGAAGAGCTAGGCATGATTGAAGCAAGGGCGGAGAGGAAGGTGTTTGAGGATATTTAGGGACGGGTCTGCCTGAATATGGTTTGAGTGTTTGTTGGTAGTAGTAGTAGACGCAAAGTATTGACCACCGACAGTCGAAGGAAACTAGCACAAGAAGAAATGTGAAAACAGAAGTTGCATTCTCGTGACCTCGGGACCGGCCTCAGGCATCTTGTGCTAAGTCGTTAGTTGGAGATCGTGCTGCGAACATGCGGTTGCTGGGCTGGGGCTGCATAAACAGCTGCAAATTGGTGGATTTGCAGGTGGAGTGGTGGAGTGGTGGAGTGACGAGGGTGACTAGGGACCGTTGGCGAGATTGGAGCGGGCATCGCGGGCCCACCGCCAAGGCGCCTGCATAGGCATGCTGGGGGCAACTGCGTCCCAGGACTCGAAACACGCGCTCGAAACCGTCGCATTGCCCTCGCACCCACCGCAGCGCCTCTTATAGCCCAACGCCCGAGGCCCGAGAGTCTGTCATTCCTACACTCGCCACCACCCCCGTCACTGCCACCCGCAACCATGGCCGGCCGATTTGTGCGAGCGTCCAAGTACCGTGAGTGTTGATGTCCAACGCCCGCCCAGCCCAACATGCTAACAACGCCTGCCAGGCCACGTCTTTGGCAAGGGCACCAAAAAGGTACGCTCCAATGCCATCCATGGATCTAGCACGCACGTGTACTGACCCTCTTGCAGGAGCAATGCTACGATAACCTCCGCATCTCCAAGAATGCGTGGGACACCAACCTGATCAAGGTCAGCTCTCCCGCACGCGACCCCGTCGTACTTGCGCTCACCCCCCTAGGCCAACCCCGAATACATCTCGGTCAACTGGGAAGCCAGCGGCGGTGGCGCCTTTGCCGTCATCCCCATCAATGAGCGCGGCCGGGCGCCCGACCAGCTCCCTCTCTTCCGCGGCCACACTGCCGCCGTCCTCGACACCGACTGGTATGGTCGCACATGGCATGACAGGGCCGAGTACGACGCTAACCGCGCGCAGGTCTCCCTTCAACGACTCTCTCATTTCCTCGGCCTCTGACGACGGCAAAGTCGGCATCTGGAAGGTGCCCGAGAACTTCACCCTGCACACCGATGCCGAGGAGCCCGCTGATGTCGCGCCTGTCGCCAAGCTGAGCGGCCACATGAGGTACGCCGATGCGCTCGGTCGAGATTCGCATCTAACACTGCCACAGGAAGGTCGGCCATGTCCTCTTCAACACCGCCGCCGAGAACGTCCTCGCTAGCGCGTCTGGCGACTACACCGTAAAGCTCTGGGACGTCGAGGCCGGTCTGCCACAGCTCACGCTCAAGCACAACGACATTGTCCAATCGCTCTCATGGAGCGCCGACGGATCGCTCCTCGTCACCACGAGCCGCGACAAGAAGCTGCGCGTATGGGATGTACGCCAGGAGAAGCCCGCCCAGGAGGTTCCCGGTCATCCTGGTGCCAAGAACAGCCGCGCTGTGTGGATGGGTGAGACCGACCGTATCGCGACCACTGGCTTCTCGCGCATGAGCGACCGTCAACTCGGTCTCTGGGACCCGCGCAACCCCAAGGAGCCCATTGGCGGTTTCCAGATCCTCGACTCCATCTCCGGCGTCTGCATGCCCTTCTGGGACGACGGTACACAGTGCTTGTACCTCGCCGGCAAGGGGTACGTCTGACCTCCCAATTTTATGGCCATACACTAACTTGCGCAGTGACGGCAACATCCGCTACTACGAATACGAGAACGACAAGTTCGAGTACCTCTCCGAATACAAGTCCGGCGACCCCCAGCGCGGTATCGCCTTCCTTCCCAAGCGGGGTATCAACCTGCACGAGAACGAGGTCCTGCGCTGCTTCAAGACTGTCAACGATGCCTACGTCGAGCCCGTATCATTCATCGTCCCCCGCCGTTCCGAGATGTTCCAGAGTGATATTTACCCGCCTACGACAGGTCTGAAGCCAGGTGTTTCGGCTGCCGATTGGTTCAGCGGAAAGACTGCAATGCCGCCCAAGATTTCACTTGAAAGCGTCTATGAGGGCGAAGCCCCCAAAGAAGTGGAAAACGACTACAAGCCTTCCCAGCCGGCCACCAGTCAGCCATCCCCCGTCAAGGCCGAGCCGCCCAAGCCTGCGCCCGAGCCCATACCTACACCAGTCGCTTCTCGTGGTCCACCCCCATCTATGAAGGACAACAAGGATTCTATGGCGTCGGCAGCTTCCAAATTCGCGGACAAGGATGCTTCGGACAACGAGAGCGCGTCGAGCTTCGAAGAGATTCCCAAGCCAGCAGAGCGCCGCACTTTCACTGCTTCCCGCCAGGAAGAGAAGGTTAAGGGCCCCACTATCTCCAAGGAACCTGAGAGCGCGAAGTCCACTCACGGTCCCACACCTGCAGCATCCTCTACACCCACCTCATCTGCTGCACCTGCCTCTTCTACGCCCACTGCGGCCGCTACGACTTCCACACCTAGCGCCGGTGGCCCTGCTTCCGCTCTCCGCGATGCACTAGGCGACATCAAGTCACAGCTTGAGCAGCAAAACAGGGTCATGTCGGACCAAACCGATCAAATCGCACTCCTTCTGCGCGAAGTCTCGATGCTCAAGACCAAGGTTGCCAGCTCCGAGCCCTCGGACCGTGAAAAGGATGAGCGCATCAGGCAGTTAGAGCTCGAGCTTGAGGAAGCCAGGTCTTGAACATGAGGACCTTAACTTTCTCATGCTTGGTGCTGACGCTGTTAGAAAACTGAACGAGGACTATATGTATCTGATCACTCATCAGGGTGTTGCAAAGAAATCGTCGTTTGGATAAGATCTCAGGGATATGAGTGGCATTATCCGGCTGGCGAGCTGTTGGTAGGGGCCGATGTACGATGATTGGGGGCTGTTCTGTGTATGCGTATCGTCTGTCTGTCGAACTTGCTTTCGTTAGCAAGGTGTTTGGGTTAGCGGCATTGTATGGCACAAAATTCATTACTTCTAGTTTAGTGACTATTTTCCCGCGGCCTCGACATCTGTACATTCGCTGAAAATGTACGCGCAATTTCTAGCAATCCTGTTCTTGGTTGACTCAGCAACATGGTCGCCATAACTAACGGTCCGGACCTCCTAACCTTGCACTCTCCAGGGCTTGCCTTCTTCTCTCCACCGTTAATTCTCCCTAACCATCTCGTCTCAATCTTCACACGTGGCGCATTGCCAAGCCTGCCAACGTACGCAGACCGACTGCACCGAATTTATTGTTACCTCCATACAGAGCTCAACCGTCCCTGTACTTCGCGCCCGTCCACGGCTCACCATGGCAGCGTATATCAACCTTGACTTGCAAGGTACGTTACCAGTGCAATATTATACACGGTCTGTTCTTCTAACGTAGAACGAGGGGCCTTCTATTTTGCTGGACATCGTTCTGCCGAAAATGACGCCATGCTGCAACTATTTTCGAGCAGGCTTGCGGGCGTAGCAAGAGGTGCGTAGTACCATCATCGCCCGGCATAAACGGCAAAAAGTGCTCATAGACGTAGAATCTACTTTTGATGTTTTGTACTCGCAGGTTGCCCGGGATTGGCAACAGCGGGACGACCTCCTCACACCCTTTAACGACCGCCGATGGAGTCACGTTAGAGCGGTCTGGACCTTTGACCTTGATCGCGATATTCTGCGATTGGACCAGACAGATCGCAACCTTTGGGTTCCTCTCGACCTTGTTCGCCAGCGTTCCATAACCATTTCCGATTTCGAGCCTTGCGAACCACCGCCGACACTTGCCAAACATGCCTTGCAATCCGTCTACTCAGCACGCCGCCCAGTGGTGTTCTGGAAAATGAGACGCAAGAACATCGACCTGCCGCGCCTACAGCGGCGCAAGGCTTTCGTCTCTAGGATACTTGCCGACTTTGCGTTCCAGTGGAGGCATGTCCTTTGCGGTCGTTACAACAACTCTACGTTTCGGAGGCTTGCCAATGCTATTGTCAGGATTGTTACCCTGGACTTTACCGTCGAAGAAGCAACGCTCGCACACCAAGCCATTGGCCGCTACCTGGTCTGGATAGACAATCTCCCAGAGTGGGACTTTGCAAGTGGACACATTGTGAGGGTCGGTGGAACGGCCATCGTCATATGCCAGCAAACTCCGCACGCGATCACGCTGATTCGAAATGATTTCGGGAAGCAGATTGTGTCTACTCCTGGTTCGGCAGGAAAAACCCCCACCTACCTCATACTCTCGGTGCGGGAACTTATTCTGTTTCGGATAAGCAGGGATTTCGAAAAATATACGGAACCCATGCGTCTATTTGACGGGGTGCATCCTCCATCTGAAGAAGCTATCGAGCTACTTCTCCAAGCCACGCAGACCAGCCCCACTATGGCTCCTCTTCGCAAGCTCCCTGTTGAGCTACAGGATGCGATCATTGACAAGGTATCAGGAGAACCGATTGAGAGCGCCAGGGTTGGCTGCTTACTTGATGCTGGATCAGTTTTTACGTGGAAATACAACGACCGAAATATTGAAAGACAAGTCAGCCATCGGTCTAGGACGCCTTTGTCACATATTTGCTTCGGTGGCTACACTAGTGGTATAGCATACAAGTAAACGTGTTGAAACCGCCCGTTGTCAGATGTCAATCTGATCTGTTAATCCATCGCACAATAAGAAGCTTGTCGTACAATGACCTTCCACATTAGTAAATGTGAGCTACCTGAGTGACGTGCTCGCCTGAGATAGCTTGACCGTCCATGATGCCATGTACATACGCGTCTCCAATAAGACGAAGCTCATGACGTCCGTTCTCAATTTTCTCCGTGTTTTTCTTCCCCATAACAAATGGTACGTTGCCGTTATAAAAGACCCAGATCTGGTCTCCAGGCGAGGTAGTAGGTGGGCCCATACCAAGGTAACCTCTCTTTGTAATGAAGAAAGCATGATTCGGTACCATACCACAGAGAGATTCAAATAGCCCGCTCATCCCGTGTGGAGGATAATTAGACTGGTGGCCTTGTTGCGGGAATTCTTCATTGTTGAGTGCGCGTTCGATCTCGAGAAATTCCGAAGCGTGTGTTGCTTTCGCTCGTTCGATAGGATACTCAGCCATGACGAGATCACCGCTCATGGTCCGCCACAGGGCTTCGCACGACTGTGTCGGATCACGTTTATAGCTATCTCGTCCTTCCACTAGTTGCCTTGCGTCCGACATTACGTTCCGTATCTTCCGATAGTCAAGATATTCCTCATCGGAAACCTCGTACACGCTGTTGACTTGCTCTACTTGGTCGACCAGCAGACCTGGTAAGGATAAACATGTCCAATCACTTGATACCTTCGGTACTGAGCCTCCCTTCTCGAGGTTTTGTCCGCAGTCGATTCTACCACCTGCCGAGAACTGCCTGTATCGATGCGAGTGATTCCACCACTTCAGCTGGCGCTTGCCTACACGGTTGGAGCATGCGAAGTCGATTGACCAACTCGGTAGATCGGGGGTGACATGCGGCATCTCGCTGGACGCAATCAGAGGCCTAAGGCCTTCTCCGAATAGCAGTAGATCGCTTGTAACCATTGCAAATAATAAAGATGCAGGTATCGAGTAACTACGCGCTTGAGCGTGCGGAAGAGTCTGTGAAATCTGACGCGCATCAAGCAAGCCTAATAGCCCATAGATTTTATCGCGTGGATCGGTAGCTTTCCGATGGCGCCAGCGCATGAACAAGTCTAAACCGGACTCGCCATCAGTCGAATGCAGAAACCCATTTATAGGATACAGAAGACTACGGAGAAGTGGGGTATGCATGATGCGCTGGTATCGAAATCTGAGTGGAAAAGAGCGAAGATTGTCGCCACGCAGCTGCTGTACCACCAGGAGTATGTTGCGCCGTGACACTGAGAGTGGGCCCCATCTGAACTCAGCTGAGTGGGGCAGTATTGACTCTTGAATTGTCCAGATGCGCTCCCACCAGGTATTCCCATACATAGCAAAGGCTGCAAAGGCTTTCCGGGCCGTCACGCCTGCGGCACCTTCTTGGAAGAGCGTGGGGAGGCCATCCTCGTGGTCGACACCTTTACTAGACAAGTCGTGGGCCTCTCCTGTTGATGCGTTTCCAATTGCTGGTCTGTTGGCCACAGCTTCAAAGAACGCAAATACTGCGTGTGTGTCCGCCTCATCTATGCCATGTTCGGCATATTGGATCTCTCCCAGCCATAGGATGCAGTGTGCGCATTTACTGTAGATTTCTCGCATCAAGGCAACCTGACTGGCCTTCTCTTCCATATCCCACTGGTTGATGCATATCTGATCAACCCATAGTGTGCGCATTTGGTTTGGATAGCGTAGGCGTCGAAGAGCGTCGTGGAGGTTTGGCGAGATGTTGATCGGGCTTCCTGACACTTGAAGGCTTCTTTTCTCGACAGCATCACCCCAAACGTATGATAGCGCTTCATATTGCGCATCTCCATCGACACTAATGTTGCGGATATGGCACTCAATAGTGTCGTCGGGGCAGCCAGGTAGCAGGTCCAAGACGCGGATCTCGCGGTTGTTGGGGCGTTGAGATACTATGTACCTAGGTAAGTCAGGTGGTTATCCAGTCGTGGAAGTCCATCAATTTACCTGAAGCCTCCATCGCGATCGAGCCAGGGAGAAGAGCCTTATATCTTTCAAACAAGATGAATGTAGCGTGGAAGCGAAAGAGTGTCCACAAATGGATCACGTGTACGGTAGCTGCTGCATGATGAGTTGCCTGATCAGCCAAGAGCGGGCTGACCAAACAGAGCCAGGGAATATCCCATAGCCTGCATGTCCAGGTGGCGGTATAGAAAATTGTAACGTACAACACTTGTGCTGTTCACGACAGCATTCTCGTGCAGTTCTTAGAAGCTTGGGCATGCCTGCTCGGCGCGGGCGCGTAGGTAGAAATGCTGCCAAGAGTGGGTCCATGGCGCGTCATCTCTCGCGTCAACCAGACCTCGGGAAGTGTGCCCTCTTCACCTCACTTCACCACCACCAAGTCCTACACGATCTGTACGCATCCTACAGGACAAAGCTATCGACGCGCTTGTGCTGATAGGATAGTCAATCTCCATTTCAATTCACCTCTATTGTTCCGCCATGGCAGTTCATGTCGGCTGTCATCTCAGCACATTCATCCTTTCCACAAGCAAGAAGACCAAGCCGATGAACTACAGTATGTTCAGAGCTATTTTCAGCAGCCCCAGAGCCCTTTGGTTCCCTTAGTCACCTATCCCGGCCTTCCTGTGCCAGACTATTCCACCTTCGCTCTTGCTTTTCAGAGCCCGGTGTATACTCGTATGCGTTCCTGTGGGATTGAGCAGTTTTAAATCACGACTGTCAGAATCCTGTCAAAACGCGCTTCATCTTCCTACCGATACGAATGATATCTGGCACGGACGAGGCATCTCCCCAGATCGCATATTGATCGTGACAGAAATCTGTTGACTACGGCCAGTAGGCAGTGACCGGCAAAACGACTGTACGGTCTTTGTCTCGTGAATATGTCACAAGATCTACAAGGTGGTTCTGATCAGAACACCCCATTATCACTATTTTGACGCGCGGACCATGAGTTGCGTCATCGCTTCATGGCAGGCTCTCACTGACTGAACGCACTGACGGTTCTGGACGGTCTTTAATTGCTCCAGGCAACGTTGGTAGGAGTGGTGAGCGTTTGCAAATTTCTTTCAGGGTCTTGTTGAAGGCTTTTCATCAGCCCTCACTGCTCACCAGTGCCTATAACGGAAGTCTTTCGTCGATCACACGCGCCTGCTGAACTTCTTCACTCTTCTGCGCCTGAGTCAGATGATTCGATTCTTTTACTTTCTCTGCACGTCCTTCACATCTCTGCTGCTATAAAGAGCATATCGTCTCCTCTGGCTTGAACGATTTCTCTCACTCTTTCGACTCATAATCTGCCCTGAGACCAGTTCACTATGGAGCGGAGTCAGGATAGCGATCGAAATCAGTGCGAGTATGTATTCACGAGCGAACCCTTTGAAATGAATGCTTACAATATATAGTGCGGCGCAGACTCAGTCATCTGGCACGTCCCCAGTGGCAGACAGCTCGCCTTTATCAGAACTTCCTGAAACTCCCTCTCTAGAAGTGAGCAGTGCGATGCGAGGCAACGATGGACGCGTCGAAGCGCTCAAAAATGATGACGGCGAAGAGTCTGCGGACGAAAGTTCAGACGCCAAGAAGCCATACGCGTGCCAGTATTGTGGCAAGACATATGTTAGCGAACAGAAGCTCAAAGTACGTATCAGAAGCCTGTATTCTATCTTCACCTACTGACCTAACTGTAGCGCCATATAAGGGATACCAGATCCAAATGTGCAAAGAGGCGCCTCGGGGTTAGCACGAGTGACAGCGTCTTTGCCTGTCCACGGTGCGATGCCCAGATGTCCAAGAAGTACTCTATAGAGGTTTGTCGTCCGTCCATATCCTTCAGATCAACATCGCTAATTGTGAATCAGCGGCACATCAAAGACTCATGCTGGAAGATTTGCGACGAATGTTGCAAGGGCCATAAGTCGACTTGCGATGCCTATTATACCGACGACGCCTGTAAACATTGCCTGCAGCAGGGACTTGCATGTACCAAGCACAAAGAACAAGTGTCCGACTGCAACCCAGAGTTGCTCACAGATACACCCACACAGCCGTACAAATTAACTCCTAGATCTTCTCGCGCTGGCACAGTTGCCAAGGACGACAAAGGTAAGCGTAAGGCCACCGACTCACCAGGTGCGAGTCCAAAGTCCAAGCCGGTCGCCAAGCGTGCAACTGCTGTTGCCAAGAAAGAGACGACTACAGCCACTGGACCAAGTCAGGAAGCTGGCCGTTTGTATCCTCCATTTGCGTCGCAGTCTGACCTTGAGAGGTCGCCCCAGTATCATATGGATATCGAAGAGAACAGTACGTGTCCTCCAAAAACTCCTTATCTTGAATGACTGCTAATGACAACAATTCCAGTTGGCGGCTTGAGATCCTCGACGCACCTACAATCGCGCGATCACGTTCCAACTACACTACACCCGCAGTCGACACTCATGCCCCAGCACGTCCAGCGAGATCAAGCCCGAGGACACCCAGTTCCGCAGCAGCAGGTTCCTATACCACCCTTGATACCCGGCCAACAATACAATGGTCGCGATGTCATGACTCCGCAGCAAGCTCTGGCTCGCTGGCCAAATATCCACAATAGTTCTGGTCTTATGACATATATTGTGGGGCGAAATGGAGAGGTCTTGAATCAATCTGCGATAGATGGTGATGAGTTGCTCAAGAAGTTGAATGCGCAACAGAGACGTATCGCAGCCATGGCAACTCGACACAACAACGGAGTGCGTGTGCCTGTACCGACTCGTCCAGCTCCACAGGCACCGGACGAACATCGCACCCAGTTCAACCATGTGCATTCCCCTGAGTCTCGTTTGACGCGCTTCCGACCCATCCAATCCGCCAACTTCAAGGTGTATGAGGAAGCTGCTCGTCGTAACATTCGGCCCAACGAGTTCCTTGCAAGCGCGCCTGGATCTCGCATGCCTTCTCGTCAGACGTCGGCCCAGCCAGCCGCCGCCTTGCACTTGCCGACACAAGGGCAGCTTCAGGGAATGAATACGGCTGCTCCGGCTACGAAGGGACCGGTAGCTGGGGAGCTCACACAGCCAGTAAGTGGGATTCTTTCCCGACTCTAACATCTAGTCACTGACAAGTTTAGATTGCTTTACAACGTTCTGCTCTACCCGTAGCAGACGAGAACGATCCCGTAATGACACTTCGTATTCATAGCAATACATACGACATCAATGGCACTCCCATCTTCTCCATCCTCACGATCCGCGCGTCGCAGAAGTTTGGCCCTCGTTTGGAATACTATTGTCAACAGCGAGGCAAACAGTACGGCATAGACTAGGTTTTCATATACCAATACGCCCTAGGCGGCCCGGACGATGACGTGCGAGATCGTTACATCAAGATCGACTACAACATGACCTTCAGCGATGTTTATGATCCTGAGCGTCCCGACATCAAACTCCGAGACATGGACACCATCATGATCATGAAAGCCAAGTCCCGCCTCGCATCCATGATCGATAATGGTCGCAGGGGGATTGAAACTCCGCTATCGCCAACTGGCTCGCAGGTTTCGGAAGATAATATCGACATTGTTGACGGCGAGACCCCGATCTTCCAGAACGCCGGCACCATTGCGAACTGGAACCGCATCGTTGAGAGTAAGATGATGGAGTTGCGCAATCAGGTCAACACCTTGACATCTGAGAACCAGCGCCAGAAGACAGAGTTGGCTAGGCAGAACCAGATGCTCGGTGATATGATCAAGCGCAACGATGCGTCTTTGCGGAGCAGTCATCCACAGGCTACTGGTCGTGGTGTTCATGCCTTCCCCTTCGTTGGTCATTCAGCTGCAAACCTCCATCCCGGCATCCAACATGGCCCAACTGTCCAGCGCAACGCGTTCATGGATCGTCTGGAAGCAGTCCGAGAACCCACCGTGCTAAACGATTTGCGAAACCGCATGCAGCAATACCAGTTCCCGACTCATCACCCTGGCATGCAAGGTCGCCGGCCCACTTACGATAGCGGCGAGCGTGAGGCGTTTCCGGACTTCCAGAGGATTGGTGCGGCGACGACTCAACCTACACAGTTCGCTGCATATGGGATGGGTGACGACATGACTTCGTATGTTCCTGTATTGCAACATATACAGGGCGGGAGTGATGAAATGGACGCTCCGATGGTGAAGGTTGAGGATGTGGAAATGGAGGAGTAGGACTTCAGTTCTAGCTACTGAGACACTGATGCTTCGTTTCCGCCCTGTAAGAGGCGTTGAGGTGTACTTTAGGCGAGAGAAACGTTCTGATGGTCACACTTCAGGGTGTTCAGCTCCGTGCCGTCAGATCTGCACGCATCGGCGTTAATGCCACGAGCCTGAGCTTCGTGAATGTGGCGTTCCAGTTACGCTGTCTAGGCTAGCGACGCGCTCATCTACCATGGGCAACAGCATGTACAAGTCTTTTCTAATAATAAACGTCTCCACTCGCTGGCTTGACGAGAACTTCATTCGCAGTGAATCGTATGATGCATGTACCAATCTACTCGGCTGCTTTGAGTGTTCTTCAACCCATGACTCTGATGTTTCGTAAGACTTTATCGAGAAAAGACAACAATCTAACGTGATATTACAACAATGCTATGCTAACGCTAAGCCGACAGAAGTATGTATAGGCAACGGTGCATCCGACACCAACTCCCAAAATGCCCAACGAATATTCTATAGTTCCCAAACGCCCAGATATCCAATCCTAGAGACCATGGTCCCTTAATCACTAGCATACCCACTCTCCTTGCCACATTTGACATGCACCAACTCCGTCTTGCCGTCTCCATCAACAACAAGCGCTGTCAGCTTGCCCCCACTAACACACCCCGTATCCAGACCATAAGAATACTCATGTATATTGAGGCCCTTCTTCCTGTTGTGTCCGTAAACCACCGTCGCCCTATCCTCTTGCTTCAGCTTCTCCTGGCGATGATTCCAGAACTTCTCCCAAGGCGTGCCCGCATGCTTGCTACTCGGTATTCTCGTCTTAAGATCGATAGTCCGCATGTTCATAACGTGGAAGGGGTCTTGGTGTTCGAGCGGGGTGTCGGGGACGAGGCCGGCGTGTACGGTTACGAGGTTGCCTAGCGTCGGGACGCTGCCGACGCGGAGGATGACGGGGCATTGTCGGAGGTATTCGATTTCTTTTTTGGTGAATTGCTTCGCTAGCTTGCGTAGCTTGTAGTCGCCGTGCGATTGGCTGACTTCGTCTACAAAGTCGATGTTTGCGTCGGGGGAGTCGTCGGGGGTGAATTTGAGGACGTGACGATCTTGCGCGTCGGCGATGGAGAGCAGGAGCTTGTCTTCCCAGTTTCCGCGTACGCAGGAAGCGCCGATCTTTTGGGCGAGCTTGATGACGCCTGGCGAGTCTGGGCCCTTGGCTATCATGTCGCCGGTCATGACGAGGTGGTCGTGCTTGTGGTTGAAGTCGATCTTCTTGAGGAGATGCTCCAGTTCCTTTCTGCAGCCATGGACATCGCCGACGAAGACGAGTCTGCTGTGCTTCTTAGGCAGATGCTGCTCGTCCATGTCGCTGACCTGGATCATGCCCTTGAACTCTGGCCGCACATTGCTGCCGTAGCTCATCGTTGGTGCGTTGTCCATGAGATGCAACTCCGTTCTGTATGCTGTGTGTCTAGGCCCAAAGTATGTCCACCAACTTATCAAAAAGAGAACCGCAATTACGAGATACGTGACACTGTGGCGCTTTATCCTCCGGGGGATTCGGTCGGTTGTGCGTGCGATGGCCGCCTGGAACTTTGGCGGAATCAGGAAATCGTCGTCGCGTGCGTAGAAGCCGTCTTCTTCGTCGGATACGTCAAGGTCGTCGCGGTAGTCTGGTATCTGCTCGATGAGGGGTCGCGGGCGGTTTTGCGCATGCGCATAGGGGTGATCACGGTACGACGTCATCGCGATGTTTTGGTCGAAGGGGAAAATCTCGCACTGCCGTCGTGTCTCAAGATAGTCTTCACAGCGAGGAAAACAGGCACTGTATACGACGACGTAGAATGCGAAAGCAGTGACAGCGTTATGCCAGTCCTTTTTATTATGGCCGAGCGGTCATTTGCGCTTGGTGTTTCTTGCGCAGGTCCTTCCTGTCGTGGCGGTCGAGAATTCTAGAGGCAGGGTCGGGGCAATTATACAGTAGAGGGTGCCAGGTAGTCATCGAGGCATGATCAGGCGGGCGAGGAGCCTCCATAAGAACGCCGCTGCTGTTTCGCGTTTGTCGAGCCCATCTAGCCTTGCTGGCTGACCCCAGCGTCGATCCCGGACTGCCGGCACGCGGACTTGGCGGGAGCGTGGGCCGCTACTTTAGCTACACACGTGTAATCCACGCGTGTCTGCATCCCATTTCGTGGCAAAGCATCTAGGCAGTGAAATAGAGCAGTCGCTGCGTTGGAAGCGCGCCCATTTCGATGCAGGTGGTGCGCCGTGGTTCTGGGCATACGTGCCGCTTGTATCCTTTCGAAGCTTAGCGCTACCTGACCAGGCAGTCGCGAAGGATTCACGCCTTGACAATCAGCGCGATATCAGTCCGACCCACCTGGGCAACATCGCATGTTCCTTTTTTGCTTCAGGTCTCATCATGTTGTTTTCCAAAGAACCAAACCCGCTCAAGGTGGTCGTCTTAGGTGAGGCCCAATCAGGCAAAACATGCTTCATTGACATGGTATGCGACCGTCCTGTCAACATTACCCATTGTCGTTTCTCCTCCAGTAGCATTAGTATTGACACTGGCTCTAGTTCCTCGAAGGGAAACACTTTATTCGCCACAGCGCTGTCGACTCCGAACTACTTTCAAGGACCATTTCGCACGCTGATGACAACTGGAGCTTTTCTTTCATGGATATAGATCTCCAGGGCTCCATATCTTCCTCATATCGCCGTGTCTTGAATGAATACATTGGGGGTGCTGATGGCGTCGTTCTTATATACGACATCACTGCCCAATGGTCTTGGGATGAACTCATCAAATACACGTATCCACACATCTATCACTGTCGCAACACCATATTTACCAAAGACGGCACGGAAGGGAGGATGCAAGGAGTGAAGAAGAGGTTCGGTTGTGTAGTAGTGGGAAACAAAAAGGACATGGTCGATGAGGATGGATCAAAGAGGCAGGTGAAGAAGGAGATGGTAGAACAATGGGCTGCAAGTCAGGGTTTCCGGCATTTCGAGATTAGTTCCAATGAGCGCAGTGAGGTAGAAGATGTCATTAGAGCCCTGGTGGATAGTGTGCAGAGAGCCAGACGTATGGATGCGAGAGATATTGGAGATAGTGGGAGAGACGGTGAAGGCAGAATAACGAAATGGGGCATGAAGGTTGTAAAGCGGTTGACCAATGGGTAAGCTGAAGTCTTTGAAGACGACTGCCATCATGTTCACGAACGACGATCCTTCGGACAACAGGAACTGAACTATTTCAAATATCACTGCGAAGCAATGACGTAGAGATGCGGACTTATCTCCGCCTAGACAAGTACATTATCCATACCCCATCACGTCCCCGCAGTCCGCGCTCATACATCAACATCAGTCTGCATGCTCTGCAACCTTTGAAGACATTAGAATACGAAATTAAGCCCAGCGACGATGTCCAGCTCCACCGCAGAAATGTCGCCACTGACCCTCATATCAGCAACACCATCGCCATTCGCACGCATGAACCGCATCGCGCTCACTCTAAAAGGCATACCCTTCGAGCTCAGGAATGAGATACCATGGCAAAGCGCAACAGAGACACCCAAATACAATCCATTGGAGAAACTGCCCATCTTGCTTCTCCCTGACGGCCGACCGCCAGTCTACGATAGCGCGCACATCCAAGAATACATTGTGCGCAAGTATGCAGACAGAGGCCCGAAGCTAATCACCGGCGACATGGACTTGGATCTACAAATCCGACAAATCGTCGTCTTGAGCGTGGGTTGCATGGACGCCATCGTGATAGCCCGGTTTGAAGCTCGCCGAGAGAAAGACAAGCAGTCGCAGCTTTGGCTAGATCGACAGAAGCGGAAGATCAATGGCGCAATGCAGGCTTTCGATGAGATGGTCCGGAGTAGAAGAGAGGAAGAGAAGGCCTATCTCGTTGGTGACGAGATGACGATTGCCGATATTGCGGTCGTGTGTACGGTAGGGTTTATCGATTTCGGAAGCATGAGCCCTGGATGGAAAAGCAAGTACGAAGGGTTGGCGAAGTGGTTTGAGGAACTGGATCAGGGGAAGGAGTTTGCGGAGACAAGACCCGTTATGTTTGATCTGAAAGAGACTGTAGTGTAGAGAACTACAGTATGGCTACAAGGTCGTCGAATGTTGGTATCGCATCCTCCAAGCTACTTCCTGGACGGCTCGTTTTGTGGCAGATTGTTATCTTCGCTCGTGAGCTCAATCATACTCTCTGTGCCAATCTCCTCGAGCTGTAGCTGTGGCGGGTACCAAATGTAAAAGCTGATCATAACGAGGAGCATCAAGACGCCATCGAATACGTATACTGGCCACTCGTTCGAGTTAAGGTAGCCGTCGTGTCCAGCGATGAATTCGACTAGGCGGAAGATGTTTCGTATTGAGATGAGAACAGAAGTCCCGTATAGCATCCAGAGCACACTTTCCCAAGGTACATCGACAGTTTGGCCAGTGTTGCGGAGGTGGAGTGAGAACTTGCGGTGGAAAAGAACGCAGCACCACATGAATCCGGCAAAGATGAGAACTTGTAAACCTAAGCCTGTGACGATAACACCATTTCCAGCGTTTACCAATTTCGGCTTGGGAAGGAACCCCGCTCCAGTTGATTGTATGTTGAGACAGAGTAGGTCGCCTGCGATGAAGATTCGAGTGCACCATCGAGGTGATACATAGGAGAAGCGTTCGCCATGCGTGGCTCGCACTACGCGCGAGTAAACCATGTACAGTGTGCCTGCAAAGAGACACGGTGGAAGAAGGAGGAAGATCGCTTGTAGAAGGAAGGGGACTAGAGCGCCTGTATGATGGGTCGCTATTGCGCGACACGCATAACCCATGGGCTCAGCTGGATATGTCAGTCTACCGACGTACGCATACCAGTCAGACCAGAGTCAAGGAATACGTACAGAAGCCACCAGTAATGAATGGTATAGCGTACCATGTCCGATGTTTGTACGCTTTATAGGTATGAGCTAGAGTCAAGACGA